GTTACTGTGATAGTGATATTGAAGAAACTTACTGGTAGTGCGTTGGCCAAATTTTGGTGGTGGTGGATTGCTAGTGGTGGTTATTGTAATGGTTGTCTGGTTGTGTGTTGTGTGGTTGTGTTTGTGGAGGTGTTAGTGGTGGATTGTGGAGGTATGTGACTGCTTGCTGTGACTATGGTGTGGGTGCTTCTTGTGTTGGTTGTGTTTGTGGTAGTGTTGGTGGTGGTGTTGGGAGGTTGTGTGGTTGTGTGGGGTGTTCTGTGGAAGTGTTAATGTGTGGCTGTGTTCGTGGAGGTGTTAGTGGTGGTGTGCAGAGGTTTGTGGAGATGGTTGTGTCGAGGTGTGGAGACGGTTGTGTCTGGGGGTGTGTGGTTGTGGTTGTGTTTGTGGTAGTGTTGGTGGTGGTGTGTGGAGGTTGTGTAGGTGGTGGTGTGTGGAGGTTGTGTAAGTGGTGGTGGTGTGTGTTTGTGTTTGTGGAGGTGTTGGTGGTGGTGTGTGGTGTGAAAGTGTTGGAGCGTAATTGTGCTTGTGGAGGCGTTGGTTGTGGTGTGTGGAAGTGTTGATTGAGGTTTGGTGTGTGGTGTGTGGTGTGTGGTGTGTGGTCGTGTGTAATATGTGGTGGTGTGTGGTCGTGATTTCTGAAGTGATGGTGTGTGGTTACGATTTTTGGTAATTACTTCTTCTGTTAAATATTTATGTTTAGCTTTTTTTATGCTAGTAACTCAATGGTTAAGTCAAAAAAAGTCGTTCGCCAGCTATGTTAGATAAGGAGCCAAACTCATATTTTGTGACCTCTATCTTAAGGAGGTCAAATTGGGAAATAGACTCACCACCTATATTAACAAGGAATGGTGACGAAATATTATGAAAATGTTCAATGAAATGACGAGAAGGGAATAAGATATAATGAAACTAAAAAACGAATGAGATTAGTTGAAAAGGACTAGAAAATGTGGAAGGAACTAAAACGAGGATCCATAGGCTTGGGTTGGGATTCAATCAAACAAACTATTGATACTTCGAAGAAATAGTGGGATGAGAGATTAGAGGTGAGAATATATCCATGTATGACATTCTTTTCCTAAATTGTATGAACATATCAACGTCGTCTTATATTGCAGGTAGTGTCAGCTGTCAAGAAATTCAAATTCAGTGGTATGGACCCTGATCTAGAAGAAAAGCTGGACAGTATGTTTGGTGGGGTTGTAGCAACAGAAACTAATTGTTGGACCCCTAATGAGCAAGGGTTTGCAGACATACCTGAGAGCTTTGATGTCGAGCAAGCAATTGACACCGGTGAAGGCCCAAGCCCAAACCATAATGAAGTGTTCACATGTAGGTCAAAGTGTCCAAGGGTAGAGAAAAAGAAAAAAGAGGGAGCTAGTTTCATCAGAAGCCAAATATCAAAATTGGTGGCTTCATGCACCAGTGACCCTTGGACTTCACATGAGATCTCTCTCGAAGAAGTTATCCGAGTTTTTGAGAAAACTCCATAAATTTATGAGGACATGTTCTATTTGAATTCCATGAAGTTGTTGGAGGACTCGACCAGTAGACAGTTCTTCATGAAGGTGACCCTTAACCGTAAGATCAATTATTTACCTTTTTTTTTTTTTTACAAAAGCAAGGACAATTGATTTTATTCAATTATCTTTGCACTTTTTGTATTTAAATTCAAACAGGTTTATCGGATTTCTGATTTCAATGTTTTTTTTTTCTTGGAATGGTGTTAATGCTATTTTAAATGTTTGTCTTTTCATCGTACACTTTGTAATTCGTTATTTGAAGTTTATTAAAATTGTTTGACTCACATGTATTATCTAAACGGAAAACTTGTTAAACATGGATTCACAAAGAGATAGATGCAGAAGATGAATTGTGGCAACAGTATGTTTGACGTACGAGTACAAAAACTCATATGTAAATCGGTCTCCTTGCATGACATCATCTTAAATTGGTGATAAATGGGTTGAGGAGCTACTTGAAGGACACCCTAAAAGATTCAGTTACATGTTTCGTATGACACAACCCATATTTGTAGATCTTTTAGATGAATTACATAAGAATCATGGACTTCAGGCTTCTCTAAAATGACAACCAGAGAAGTGTTAGCAATAACCCTCTACATGTTGTCACAGAATGAATCAATGAGAGGAGTGATGAAGCGATTTTAACATTCATCAGAGACAATTTGCAGATATTTTTCAGTGAGGTTGAAGGCGCTTGTTAGTTTTTCATCAAAGATTATCAAGTCAGAGGATCCAACGTTTGAAAGGACTCTAATAAATATTGCAAATGACGCGAGATATAAGTCATTTTTTACTGGTAAATAATTACTCATTATATTTAGAAGTCAAAATGGGTATTGTAATTCACACAACCTTCTTTAATTTGTTAGAATTGTATTGGAATGATCGATGAAACACGCGTGAATGCTCGTGTATCCAATAATAAAAGAGTCGCATTCATTGAGCAATGTGAATCACCAATACAAAATATGATGGTTGTATGTGATTTCAACATGTGTTTTACTTTTGTTATGGCAAGTTAAGAAGACTGTGCACATGACAGACATATATTCATTTTTGCCACAAGAAATCGAAAACACTTCCCTCACTCACCTCCAGGTGTGTTCAACTATTAATCATATTTAGATATTTTTTTAAATTTATTACTAATAATTGTATTTGCGACATAAATATTAGTTGGCCGACGTTGGATATCCCTTACAAAGGGGGTATCTAAAATCATTTCTGGATACCAAATATCACATTCCCGACTTTGAGAGATTCAACAATGTTGCTCGGGACATGAAGAAAATGTTTAACAAGAGACACTCTTCCTTATGTAATGTAATTGAAAAAATATTTGGAGTGTAATAGAAAAAATGGGTTATATTGTGTGATATGTCGACATATTCATTTCCGAAACAGGTGCAGATTCTAGGTGCAAATTGTAGTGGCCACAGAGGTTCTCCACAACTATATTCGACGGCATCATTCGCACAATGACATAGACTTCAACATAGCTGATGATTATTTGTACTTCCCGTCTAAAGCATATGAACATCACATAGGACAATCTATACAAGCAGAAGTAGAATCATAATAGGCTTGCACCGAGGATGGAGGTGTTAGAGAAATAATTGAATTGAGAGAGGATTACATGCGACATTGTTGGATGCTAAATGGATCGATTTTTATTTCTTATACAATTCATGTTTATTTCATTTTCGTCTTTATCTGATATTGATTGTTTGAGTTTTTTATGCTATTTGTAACTGTTCTTTTTCCATTTGCATTTCTTTAGTTTTTATTTTGATTGGTTTGAGAGGTTCATGATTAGACGTTTGACTTTATTGGTTCTTCTGGATAGTCTGTTAGTCGTTGTTAGTTAGTATCACATGTGAAATCCTAATTAAGGCAACCAAGTTTCTCTTTTCTTTTCAGTGTTGCGGTTTTTGAAGTTTTTCTGGATGTTTTTGATGATATGCATACGTGACACACGAACTTAGTATTACATAAGTTAAAAACAATCGAGAATTTTTTTTTTTTATAAGGCATTGTCTTCTTGTAGTGTAGACTTGTTGATTGGTATACTGAGTTATATAAGACATCACGCCTGCACAAAACTGTAATTGATTACTTTTTCATCAATTTCTACTTCTGTTATGACTAATGAATTGTCTTTCAAAGCATTCAGGAAAGATAAACTCGAGAATTTCTGAGACTTCTCGAGGATTGTTGTGTCACTGTGGACTTCAGAGTTACTTGTTGACGTCACGTCAGCGACATAGCTACGGGAGATAATTCTACAGGTGCCCGCGGAGAATCACAGATATGTGTGACTTCCTCAGGTAGGCAGACAGACTGACAAATTTCATCGCCGAGAGTGATCGAAAATGGATAGAATCCTTGGAGGACAGCATAGCTCATGACATACTTCATTTGCATTTTAAAAATAATATCATCATATTTTTAAATATTATTTTAATATTCTTTTTATTTATTTTAGTGTGGTGTATATCTTATTTTTTGTATTATTTTGAAGTGAATTTTTGTTTCTAAGTATCAAACATATTGGTATGACAGTTCTGTTGCAAACAACATTACTACACAGAGGCAAAATTATCATTTGTCTAAAATTAGCTGCAGTACAGCTGTTTTCAAACTACAAAAACAAACAGTCAACTAGTTTATCTACATATAAATTATATAATATCCTAAATCATCAAAAAGATACATTTAATATAAGGTATATTAGCAGTTCCTCATGCAGAATTATGTCAATGAAATGAGCAAAAACATGGTAAATTACAGACATGACAGTACCAAAAATACCAACAACGGAACAGCATAAGCCAAATTACTACATATAAAATTTGGAAATCATTTCCTTACACAAATAATACTCAAGCTTTCTTTGACCAATCTAGATCAAGACTGTACGGTAAAAAAGTCATGACAAAATGAAGATAATTAAAGTAAGATGATTCAGTTATTTTGTATGCATATTTCCAGTTACAGGATGGTAGTTTAGACCGATTTTGATATTGTTGAACTTAATTAGATTTAGCTGTTTCTAGAACTATTGTCTCCTCACATAATGTAAAAGAATTTCTAAGAAAATATATGAAAATACACTGTGCAATATGAAAATGGTGTCTGGCGATGCATATATTACAATTAAATATGCCTTAGCAACATTTTTAAGATCTGTACTAAATGCATGATCAAGAAAACTGCAATAAATCACATGCTAGAAACAGCATAGCAGTATTTCTCTCTAAATTAATTATAACTGCATAAACAACAATTATTCAAGCAAATATTCATTTATCACAGACAGCATAAAGATTGACAAGTTCACAATAACTGCAGTAATAATTGTCCGTTCTAAGCATGCAATAACAACTTTGTTGTTTGGGACAAATTCAAAAACAGAGAAATGCAATGAGAAAATCTTATTGTAAAGATTAACTAATTCATGGTAGGACTGACTCGTATTATATCATCATCTTTATAATCCATTCCGCTCATTCTGTTATCCATGATTGCTGGCAATTAAATCAACATGAAATGATCCGTGGAAGAAAGGCATGAATGAATCATCCAAATTTCATATGCAAAATAGAGTTGCATTTACCTGTTAAAATAGCATAAAACAATGTTGTAAATATCAACTAAAGTCCCCAACAACAATAATGAGATCTGCTATTGTCTTGAAAAGGCAAATCTTTAAGCCATTGCCCAATGACAACTAATGAATATAACTAAACTACAATTAAAGACATGTAAATGCAACCATGACTTTGCATTAAAAAAAAGTTATGAAAGTAACTAATGAATTTAAAAGCATAGAGACATTGCATCAAGGATCAACTTCTAGTCTAGTTTTTTTTATGAAAATGATTAAAAAGATATCCAAAGAGAGAAATATTGGCATGTGCTCTTATAGAAAGAAAGAAGATACGATTGAGATAGGTGACTTCATGTGAATAAGCAGAATGTTACTGTAACGGAAAATACATCTTCTTTCTTATTCCCATTAAGGAAATATGTTACATTTATACATACACTCCCAATCTTTATAAATTAGGAATATCTCTAATTTAGAAAAGATCCAGAAATCAGATCTCATCTAATTAAACTTCCTATGATCAAGCTTCCTACAACAACACCAACAACAACAACAACAAAGCCTTAATCCCACTACGTGGGGTCGGCTACATGAATCATTTTTCTCCATTGCGTCCTATGATCAAAATTCCTAATATATTAAATTTCATAACGCTCCCCCTCAAGTTGGAATATAGATATTTATCATGTCCAGCTTGTTACAAATATAATTAAAAGCCTTTGTGAAGATGTCCCCTAATTGTTCCCCAGTCTTTACATGAGTTGTAGAAATCAAATTTTGTCAAATCTTTTCATGAACAAAATAACAATCTATCTCAATGTACATAGTTCGTTCATGAAAGATGGGTTTGAAATAATATTAATTGCAGCTTGGTTATCACACCACAGCTTTGCTGAAAACTATCATCTTAAAACCCATTTTGGCTAACAATTTACTTGAAACTGATTTCAATGCTCGATACCCAGATTCTGCACTCGATAGTGGCATTACATTTTGTTTCTTGCCCTTCCAATGAAACCAAATTACCACCAACAAAGACGCAATATTTAGTAATGGATCTTCGATTAATCTTGAAATTTTCCCAGTCTGCATCAGAGAAATAGTCAATATTTCTATTTTCATGATCTTGATATTAAATACCTTGTCCAGGAGCTCCCTTGAGATAAAATAGTATTTGTTCCAGAGCTTACAAATGATGAATTATGGGGGAAGTTATAAATAGATTTATAGTGCTAACTGAATACGCAATATCAGGGCAAGTTACTGTGAGGTAGTTTAACTTTCTCGCTAACTTCCTATACTGTTCAGGATCATTAAAAAGCTCTCAATCCTTAGTAAGTTGTTGATTATAAAGCATTGGAGTACCGCATAGTTTGACCCTAAATTTCTTAGTTTCTGGTAACAAATCCAACACATAATTTCGTTGAGATAGAAAGATACAATTCTTGCTCCTTCATAACTCGATCCCCAAGCACTTCAAGGAACCAACTCTTTAGTGCTGAAATAATTTTAAGGAAATGATTTCAATGATAAGATTCTCTACACATTGCTTCCAGTAATAATGTCATCAACATAAGCCACCAAAAGAAAGAGTCTTAAAATAGATTGCTTATGGAATATAGTGTGGTCATTTCTACCTTTTTGGCATCCCAAGCCCTTTTATTGCTTAGCCAAATTTTTGAAACCATAATTGAGGGCTTCATTCAATCCATATAAGGACTTTCAAAGAAGACATACTTTTCTAGGCCCCCCCTGAGCAACAAACTCAGGGGTTGCTCCATGTAGACCTCTTCCAAAATATCACCATACAAGAAAGTATTTTTCATATCCAGCTAGTGCAGGGACCAATTATTCATTCCAGCCAAGGATAGGAGTAGACAAACTAGTGTCAACTTAGCTTACCGGAGGGAATGTGTCCAAATAGTCGATCCCATAAGTTTGGACATAGACCTCAGCAACTGACCGAACTTTGAGACGAGCTACAGATACATCAGAATAAAACTTTACTACAAAGACCCACTTACATCAAACAACCTTCTTGGAAGAAGGTAGCTCAATTAGTTCACAAGTTTCATTTTTAGTTAAGACATACATCTCGTTAAGTATCATTGCTCGCAACCCGGAATGGTATAGGGCTTGCTGAACAAATATTGAAACATCAACAGAGTCAAAAGAAGCAACAAAAAAACAAGAATTGGAAGACAATTGATTTTAGTTAACACAAGAGGAATGAAATAGGCATATTGACGTTTACTGCTTTGAAAAGCAATAGGCAAACCAAAGTCACTATGAGGAGGATCTACTAAGGAAGATGATACTGATGTAAAACTATGATCAGAAGAATGAGATCTTCTCGAGTAAACATTAGCGATATGTGATCTGGACTGAGGAATTAGAGGTGGAGCTGGAGCAAGGTATGAACTTATGGGCGAATTTTTCCCTCAGAACACAGGACGGTTCTCTGCGTCCGCAGTCCATTTAAATTCGGCCACGTGTAATCAAAAAATAATAATAATAATAATAATAACGCTGCGTTGAAGCCCGACCCGGCCCTTTGTCTCCGCGCCTTTTTTAGTATCCCGCCAATTAGAGCGTCGAGAAATACGTTTCGAAAATACATTTTAGGAATTTTTCTGCTATGGTTTTTCTGCTGGGGTTTTCGTACCGTTCGCCCTGCTAGAGTTTCACATTTCCTTCGTTTGATAGCTTCGAAGTCGTAACACGATGGAGTTAGATGATTCGAAGAGTACGCAGGCCGAAGAGCTAATAAGAACACAATCAGAAGAGGCGAAGATGACAGACGTTGAACAGCTGACGAAGTCAAAAAAACAGGGAAGAAGGAGGCGAAGAGGACGAAGGAGGGCATTGAAGGGGAAAACTTGTCCTGGTAAGTGTCATTTTTTTTTCTTGTTATTTTTTTCGGATTAGAAGTTATACTTTGTCGTTTAGTTATCTTAGAGGGTATACGGTTTAGTGTTGAAGGTTTTGGGATGTACTTTCAGCTTATTTATGGGTTATTCATGGTTTATTAGGGAATTTATTTCTGGATTATTGTTAGATTATTATTGGATTATTCTTGTGTTACTCTGAAGTTTAGTATTTATTGGCAATCATTTGCTCATTCGTGTATTATTTTTAGGTTATTTGTGGGTTATTTATTGGTTATTTGTCGGATTATTATTTGGTTATTTTTAGGTTATTCGTGGGTTATTTTTAGGTTATTCATCGATTTTTCCAAAGTTTATTTCCCGATTATTTTTAGGTTAGTTTTAGGTGATTTTTAAGTTATTTTTAGGTTATTCGTAGGTTATTTTTAGTTTATTCGTCAGTTTTCCACAGTTTATTGTATGGTTATTTTTAAGTTATTCGTGGGTTATTTTTATGTTATTTTTAGGTTTTTGGTGAATTATTTTAAGATTATTCGTGGGTTCTTTTTAAGTTATTCATAGGTTATTTTTAGGTCATTCGTCGGTTTTTCGCAGTTTACTCGGCGGTTATTCGCAGATTATTTTTTTGTTATTCAATGATTAGTTAAAAGTGTATTCTCATGTTATTCTTATGTTATTAATCAATTAATATTGGGTTATTATTGATTTAGGGAATATTCATGCAGTTGTTGGTTATTGTTCTGTTATTTTTGACCGATTGATGAGTTATTGTCAGTATTAATAAAATGTATTTTTTTCCTGTAGGTTGATGAACAAACAGTCTGTGAGTTGTAGATGTCGTCCATCAACAGTTAGAGAAGTGTTGGACAAGTTCGATCAATTCTCTCAAGAGACATGGTCAATTCTGGAAAAATTGAAGCTGAATCAGTTTTTTGAACTCCCCCTATCCTCAAGATCACATCCTAACTATGCACATATTAAATTGTTGGGATATGGATAGATTGGCATTCAGAATGGGGAGAAGGAACTTAGTTTTGATGCAGATCAAGTTGTTTTGTTGATTGACATTCCCAACAGAGGACTTACAGCAACTTGGGACAAAAAACTGATCAGTGGTGTGGATGTCAGGCAGGCAAAGAGTGCACTACTGAAGGGGTCGCTCGGAGAGTCATCCACTTCACTTGATGAACTTATTATTAAATTTTTGTTGTCTAATTTATTTTTTACTACCAACAATTTTAGTGTACCCACAGAGCTCTACTCATTTGCTGAAAATTTAGATACTTTTTCATAATTTAATTGGGCCGCTACGGTATGTGACCACCTCATTAAGCAAGTCAATGCCCGTGTCATCAAAATACGGATGGGTCAGCCATTGAGATACCTGAACGGATTTGTTTTTCTTCTAACGGTTAGTCTATTATCCAACCTCAGTCAAGATGTATTTTTTTTCTTATTTGGGTAATATGAATTTCTGATTTATTTTTGTTTCCACAACTGTGATTTTATGAGCGCACTGTCGTGATAGCCCCGATTGTTCCTAACGCCAGACATCGCATGTTGAGGTGGCCAATAAATACAGGCTGGGACCCTGCAAGGATCCATTTAGTCTTTCAGAGGCTGATTATTGTACATATGAATAATATTAATTTTGTTATAAGTTCAGAGTTATGTTTGATAATTTATATCATTTAGTTATTTGTTTGACTGAATAAACTTGCAGGTTCTTGATTCATTTGTCGATTTAAGAGATGACGAGCACAATTCACTTGCCCCTCGGGTTGACTAGATCTCCTCTCCTGCAAAGTCCATTCCAAAACCCGAAACTCACACTGAACCACTGACACCAAATTCTGATATTGTTATCCCTTTTCTCCCTAGTCGCAGCATCTTACAACCTACGCATTCAGAGAGATATTCAGGGACCAATATAGGTTTAGTAGAGATCTGTCAAATTCTCAAGGAGCAACATAAATTTTTATTCCAATTCAAAGATTTTGTAAATAACAGATTAGATAAAATAGTGTATAAGATGATGGAGGTGAAGAACGGACATCAAAGAAATAAAGAAAAGATTAAATAAAGTTTACATGGAATCTCCTGTTGGTTCTAAAATTG